CCCCCCCCCCCCCCCCCCTAAAAAAAAACCAAAAAAAAAAAAAGGCGCCCCCCGCCATTAAGCAAATGAAGTGTGGGATATTTAAATCTCGGCTTCATTTGCAATATCAACGTGCCTAATTTACATCCCTTTACCGAAAAAGGGATGTAGTTTAGAAACAGCCTAAATGGGAAACATACTTTCAGTAGAGTTTTCAATGGTCCTACTTCCCACATCAGAGTCAGCAGCAGGAGTCTCTATAAAGAGGAGCTCTCCAATAGTTGGCTCTTAATACATTTAAAAGTCAGAAGCACAGCAGGAGAACCCGACAGCTGCACCCCCTCTGCTGCGATTTAGCCTTCTAAACGTTTTAAGAGTCTGCAGCTCGTAATACATTTAAAAAGCAGAGGTGCAGTGTGTGGTACTGGGCGCAAGCCGGGATTCAGCTCCCCTCGCCCACCCCGCCAGAAACAGTACTGGGGGGCTTTTAAACTGGCTCTCCACTGCACCGATTGTTGCTCCCCTGATAGAGGCAGCAAGGAGGGGAGGGAGAGTGACTAGTTGAGGGACTAGTTAAGAACATAAGAACATAAGATGAACCAGATGGCATTCACCCAAGAGTCCTAAAAGAACTCAAATGTGAAATTGTGGAACTATTAACTATGGTTTGTAACCTATCCTTTAACTCAGCTTCTGTACCCAACGACTAGAAGATAGCTAATGTAACTCCAATATTTAAAAAGGTCAATCTGTGGAACTCCTTGCCTGAGGAGGTTGTGAAGGCTAGGACTATAACAGGGTTTAAATAAAACTAGATAAATTCATGGAGGTTAAGTCCATTAATGGCTATTAGCCAATACGGGTGAGGAATGGTGTCCCTAGCCTTTGTTTGTCAGAGGGTGGAGATGGGTGGCAGAAGAGAGATCACTTGATCGTTACCTGTTCAATTCACTCCCTCTGGGACACCTGACATTGACCACTGTCGGCAGACAAAGTACTGGGCTGGATGGACCTTTGGTCTGACCCAGTATGGCCATTGTTATGTTCTTATGTTCTTAAATCAGAAAGGGATTTGAAAAGCTGATACATTGCTCCCAAATCACATAATTGATGTCACATAACGCTTTAGGAGAAAGAGGTATCTTTGAAGAACAGGGTACAGGTTTCTACCGTGTTATAAAAGCATGTATTGCACAGTACCATTCATTCCTGTATAATGCTGTGAATCTCTTTCTAAAAGGTAGCTGATATTCACAGCTGACACTGAGGCTGCTTCTTCTCTCTTTTCTTTTGAAATCTGCTGCACTAATTTTTCATGCAAAGTCTTGTTTGTCTCTATGCTTCTTTCAAGTTGCACTCGCAAACTCTGTATTTCAGTCAATAGTTCATGTAAGTCAAGTGGATTATTTTGATCTTTTTGGAATTCTTCCGCTGCATCATTTCCAGGATCCAAGATTTCTTTAAAAGGAAACACTTAACATTGTTAACAATTAAAACATTAGACATTATCAAAATGCAGAGCTAGTAAATTATAGCCAGCTTTATTCTCAATATTAAGAATTAACTACAAACAGTATTAAGATAATGATTTGACAAAAAAAGAAAATCTTAATAGCTTCTTCCCTCAAAGGATTTAATAAGAGCTGAAAATTATTTACACTTTGTCCATAAAAGCTAGTAAGTTGCACGCCAAAAGCAAAATGCTATATAATAAAGAGACTAGAATGGAAAGGATTTATAAAATCTAAAGTGCATTAATGCACAGGCGGAGAGAAGGAAAAATACCAGGCTTAATCTTGGCACAAGGAGAAGGCTAGAGAACAAAAGGAATCGTGATGACAAGGGAACTATGATCACCTGGCAACCAGAGGAACCAATCTGAAACTGAGAAACACTCAGGGCACTGTTCTTCCCTTTCATTGCACAAAAAGGACTCCGTGAGGTCCTGCATTCTAAGATTCAAATAGATTCACCAGTCAATTATGGGAGCTTGCAGCAGCAAAGAAAGGAGGTTTGCTGTGATCCTCTAATTTTGTGGATGTTGTAAGCTCTGCAGAACAATTTAGCTCTATCCTTGAATCAACCCCTCTAGATTCCTCCCTTTGTCCCTTGGCAACTGGATTCTCATACTGCACCTGGGCACTAAGCTGCACAGCTAGGCTAAAGCAAAAATAAGCTATGCAACTTCAGCTATGTCAATAGCTTATTTCGGCTTTTGACGCTGTCTACACAGGAGGAAGTCCGCACTCTTCCTCCAACTTCCCTTATTCCTTGTAAAATGAGGGTTACAGGAGTCCTCTAGCTCGACATTATTTTGACATTGTCGAAATAACTGCTTGTAATGTAGATGCGGACTATGTTATTTCAGAATAACATCAGTTATTCCAAAATAACACTGCCGTGTCGACGTACCCTAAATCAAACTATACAGGGAATTAAAGTTAACATAGCAAGGAATGGTATTAATTTCTGCAAGATGGTATTAATTTCTATTGGATTTTGCAGGTAGCATGCCATAAAAATTGAGGCTGTTCTGCACCTCCACTCAGAAGAGTTTCATTCAGAAGAAGAAACTCTCATTCAAAAGAGTTTCTGCTCTCTCACTCCTAAAAGGCAGAGAAGCAGTCTGGCTAGTTTCATTCTCTTCCCCTACAACTTTAATAACTACAAGTGGGCAGGGGTTCAATTTTAACAAGTGGGCAGGGGTTAGTGATTTTATTAAATCACTAAAATCACTTTCTGTAGCTGTAATAGAGGTTTAAGTAAAACCACGGAAATAACAACTCGGCCCAACTCTTGTCTTGTGTAATCTAACAAGATCACAGCCAGAGCTGGCTGTAATAACAAAGTGCAGTCATGACAGTGCATTTTATACCTGTTCTGCTTCTCCTGGCTTCATCCAACTTTTCATATACCTTTAGCTCAACTCGGAGTGACTGCAGTAATTTGTCACTCTCAGACAGCTGATGTTGCTTTGCATTCATTTCTGTCTGCAACCTGTAAGTTCCAATGTTCTCATAAGTCAAAGGTAAAATTTTGCTTATTCATTCCTTTAAAAATCTAAAATTCCCCACCCGTCTTTCTGCTCCTGGGATATAATTATGCAGCTCTCAATAACGTATAATGGCCATAACTAAAAACATTCATGTCACACAATGTTCATTTGAGAAAACAGTCAAACAGAAAAAGGATTAATACCTGTTCAATTCATTACGACTGCTGTAAATCTCACGTGTCAAATGTCTATTTTCATCCTCCTTTTTGCCAATTTGTTTTTGCAACATTTCATTTTCTTTCTTGATGCATTCATAATCCTTGTGAAGATGTTCAATGATTGCATTCTTCTTAGAGAGGGATTCTCTTAACTTTTCATTTTCCTTTTGTTTATCTGAAATGAGAAGAAATACAAGTTGGTTGCAATTCCCTCTTGTAACCAAACAACACTACTCCACAAATACAATGTATTAAGCATTGGCAGAATAATAATGGAAATAGGATGCTCTTATATGATTTTAGTATTCCAGTTTTCTAATGTATTTTGGTAGATAAATGTGTCTGTAGAATTTAATCCCTAGAACACTCATGGCCCAATTCTGTAAGAAGCTGATCACTACTTCACACATGTCAAACACTCTCCATCTGACGAAATCAAAGGAAAGGGGCTACTCAGTTATTGGTAGGATTAGGCACCGACAGGAAGCATATTCATCCTGAGTGTTTACTGAGTCAGTCGAGGGGAAGAAGGTACTGTGTAAGGCCATTCCTACCTTTCTTGTCCCCGAATGACCCCTCCACTGAATGCTGACATGATCTTTCCTAGCACTATCTGTATGCATGCCATCAGTACCTTGCCAGTTCCACAGGGCTTTTAAATGCCTGGCTCCTCTTATTCCAGGATTCAAATACTTTCCACTGACTTCACTGGAAGTTACATTCTGCAGCAGGAAACTAGGACTTAGTCACCAGTGTCCAAAAGATTAATATAACTGGAATTGACTATTCTAGTTTTATATTAAAATACTGAACTGTACAATTTAGATCCCATACCTTTGCACAGAGCTACAAGCAAACTATGAATATACACTAGCAATATAACAAGGTGATAAAATACTGGAATTAGATAGAAACAAGGTCATTTCCAGCATGGTATATGGGATTCTGCCACTTAATTCCCACTCAGTCACATGTTCTGACTAAATCATTCTGATTTGCATTGAAAATAGAATGTGCTGATTCAGAACAATCAGCAGAAGGGGCCCATGTGATTTCATGTATTACCACAGGAGGAGAGGCAAGGCTGAAACTGGACAGATACTAGAGAACAAGATGCTCTGCAAGCAGGAGATTTATTCTCAAGATAAAAAGTGGAAGGTGCCCATAACCCTGGGGAAATTGACCCAGTTCTAAAAATAAAAGAACTCTGCTCTGCGGTGATGGACATTACTTAGGGCTTGTTCACTTGCAGTACTACAGTGGAGCTGTCACTCTGGTTCAGCTGCGCCACCACAGCTCTTGGTGAAGATGCTACCTATGCCAATGAGAGAGCCTCCCTCATCAGTATAGATATCCACCTCCCAAAGAGCTGGCAGCTGTGTCAATGGAGAAGCCTTCCCTTCAACATAGTGCTGTCTACTCTGGAGTTCATCTGGTATAACTGCAGCACTAAGGGGCAGTGTCCCCTGTTAATTTTTTCCATCCATGTGCAGAATACATTCTGTTATGTGTACCAAGGCAAGTGTAGATATATACTAAACATGTGCTACCAGATGCAGGTAGCTGTGGGCGCTCTGCTAATCATCTGAGTGGCATCTGAATTTCTCTGGGGTGGCCACCCATGCACTCAGCTTACAGGGACAACTGCAAAGATGTATGGATTTTCTATGCTCCTGAGCAACACAGTTATTCCAGCATAAGTGTTTGCAGGGCAGGCAAGGGCTCAGACATCATTTTCACAAAACTGAAGCCCTGACAATAGAAGCGTATTGTCAAACAAAGCAATGAACAGAAGTAATGATAGCAAACTTATTCAGGATTTATGTTTTACACTGCACACACTAAACACCAATTGATTCTAGATCAGAAAACATGAAACTGGGAGAGTATTCACAAGCTTTTGTGTGTGTGTGTAGTCAGTCAATACTCCTCTTTTCAATCACAGAAAGACATCTGACCCAAGGATTAGCTTTACATGTTTTAAAGAGCTCCTTGTTAAGGGGGCTTTATTGCTCACATATGGAGCTGAGAAGAGTTGAGATCCAAGCTAAGAAGATACTGAAGGAAATGGATCATTCAAAAATAACAAAACTGAGGCAAAATGCTTGCAGAGAGAAACTGATTAGAACTACCAATTTTCTCTTTGCTTCAGGTTCTAGAACCTTACGGGAAATTAGTCTCTTTTCCTTTACAACCAACTCTGCCTGAAAGGAGCTCCAGTCAGAATGAAACTGAATAATTTTAGCCAATTTCCTTTGGCAAGATCTTTAAACAAAGAGCTTAGGAAAGGAAGAAATACAAAAAAGGGATAGAAGGATAAAAAAATGGCACAAAGGAAAAGTGGAATGCACACACATGCTAAAAAGAGGGACACAGAGAGGAAATTACAGAGGACACAAAAAAGGATAATGCTGAGGTCAGAGGCAGAAGCACCACAATAGTGGTAAAGTGCTACTGTCCCAACTCCTCCAACCCTATTATCCTACATTTGGATAGAGAGGCTGGTCAGAAAATTTCTTGAGTGGGGAGGCAATTTAATGAAAGGAATGTACGTGGTTTTGTTGTTTTCTGATTGGAATAAAAATGCTTGGTGCTTTCAAAATTACAAGCTGGTTCTTTAAAGCAGAGTTTCAGATTTTACCTCTAGATCCTTTTGCAAACATTACATTCAGAACTTGATTTTGCTTCCTCAGGAAATGAATTTCAGAAGTCAGAGAATTATGTTGCTCTGAGCCATGGATAAAAATGTTTGCAGAATCTATAAATATATACATAAAAATGATTTATGAGTCATCTCTAGGTCAGTAAAGATTAAACTTTCCAGGCCACAACAATTTAAACAAAGCAGAAAAACTTGTTATGAAAGATATTTATTCCCTAGTTATTTAGAAGATTATCATTGCCATAGACTGTAAGGCAATTCAGGTAAATGCTAAACAAAACCAAAGCTCTCTATCCTTAGTACCCACAATCATTGTGCTAATCTGACCAACATTGATAAATTATCCCTGGAAGATTTGGTATGAAACCTGATACATCACCTCTATCTTTGGCCACGAACCAAAAAAAATGTAGTGCGACAAATTTCAAGTATTTGCTGGGTCCTGTGTGACCATCACACGTTTTTAAGTTGAAGTGTACTGTAGTAAAGTTCAACATGTGATAAATTTAGCACATAATCTGTTTTCAAACTGTATTACATTTAGCCACAACACCTCGCACGAGAGCTATTCAGATTTCACAAGCTAACCAGAGTGTGGATGGATTAATATTTGCATGGAAGATCTTTAAGGAAAACCTTGGGTGGTGAAGGGAAATAGTGATATTGATTCTGCTGCTGACACTTTTGCTTCCAAGTTAATGCTGAATCAATGATCCAAAATTATGCTAACAGAATGTGCTGCTGAAGTTGCTGTTCTTTGCCTAAGATTAAAAACTGAGATTCTTCCTGGCCACTTGTGATCTCTAAAAATCCAATAACATTTGTATGAGTAGAGAAGTTAACTCTGGTATCCTGGACAAGCCTGGGGAATAATTCTGTCTTCATCAATGCCACACATAGTTTGAAATGGGCGTAACATTATTCATATTTACCACAGAGATGGGCCACATTACAGTGCACTGTTAAAGTTGGAATGTTCCACTCCCAGAGTGGCTACATTCCAATGATGGATAAAGCAATAGCTCTTTGTAAAACACATATATTTGTTTAGACTTGTAAAGCTCTTTAGTCCAGTGGGCTTAACAGTGTATTTAAAATATATTTTTATTGAACAGTTGACTCAAATGTTACTGTTTTAGCAAAGATCAAGACAACTAAATGGGTGCCAACTGTTCAGTTGATAATAGAGAAATAACCATGTGGAAAAGAAATAGCTGAATGCAGGCAGCGGATGCCTTTCAGCTATAGCAATTCAATTTGATGTGCTGTACTTTCTCTGACTAACCTCATTTTATTGCAATCCCAATTGAAGCTCTTAGCCTCTACCTAACTAGAACGTAGCGTGCCATGATACACCCTTCTTGTCATTACTCAACGATTCAAAGGCACTAGAAGTCTGGCACTAATGGTATTTTACTATCTATATGTTAGAATTAAGGTAGCTATGTGAACTCAAAAAGAATTTTGCCTTTCAAATTTTAACAAAAGCAATTCAGCTTGAAGTGTCTGAACTTGAGGATCTCATCTAGATCCCAATTTAATTTGTTGCCCGTCACCCAGTTCTCATGTTATTTGACAAGTTACACTGAAAAGCTCTAGAATCTAGCAAAGGGGAAATGTAGTCACAGTGGTAATAAGACCAACCTCCTGCAATTAGACCCATTAGCACAGAATTCTGCACCTGTGAACCTCACTAACTTCAGTGGGGCTCTGAACAAGACAGGTGCTTCAGTCCAGCTCATAGATGAGTGTACCTGTTCAGGGCCTCTGACTACAGTTATGCTGAAGAGTTTTGGTTAAGTCAAGTCATGGATAGCAACAATGAACACAAAAAGGTGTGTAGACCTTATAGTTTTCCAAAGAAAGATTGAGATGAGCACCATAAAAAACAACAGTAAAGATATATAAATAAATGCCCCCTTCCCACAGACAAAAAGTACTTTGCAGTTGCAATTGAAGCACAAGTGTACATAAAACCTTTACTGTTTTTACAATATATAAAAATAGCAAATCAAGTATTAGAAACCTAGAAAATTGAGAATTAAAGGTTGAAATATGGACAAAATTTACTCCTAATTTTAGTGAAAATTTCAGCTCAACATTAACTATGGAACCATTCTACCACTCCATGATTCATTAGGTGCTACCAGCTCAGGGTATGTCGGACGTTAGTTCGAATTAACTTTAATAGGTGCTACACTAGCGCTCCGCTAGTTCGAATTTGAATCGAACTAGCGGAGCGCTTAGTTCGAACTAGGTAAACCTCATTTTACGAGGACTAACGCCTAGTTCGAACTAGCTAGTTCGAACTAGGCGTTAGTCCTCGTAAAATGAGGTTTACCTAGTTCGAACTAAGCGCTCCCCTAGTTCGATTCAAATTCGAACTAGCGGAGCGCTAGTGTAGCACCTATTAAAGTTACGTTAGTTCGAACTAACTTTGTAGTGTAGACATACCCAGAGAGAGTAAGAGATGCAGCAGTAGGAGGAGAAAAGAAACACAGAGTAAAAAGCGGGAGGGGGAGAAGAGAAAGAGAGAGAGGCAGAGAGAGAGGCAGGAGATGGATGAGAGCTGAGAGAGAGAGAGAGAGAGCGAGGCAGTAGGAGGAGAAGAGAGGCCATTTGTGCTGCTTGTTCCCACGCAGCGGCCTGACTGAGTGGAGCAGAAATCAGCCTAGCACCACGGAGGGAGGAGAAGGGGGGTGGGGAGGTGATATACACACCCAGGGGGCAGGGCCTGGACGAGCGTGCATCTCCAATGGAGACAGAGGAGAGCGGAGAGAGAGTGAGAGGCAGTAGGAGGAGGAGGAGAAGAGAAAGAGAAAGTGAGAGGCAGGAGGGGGAGAAGAAAAAGATAGATGGAGAGAGAGGCAGAAGGCAGAGGAGAGCTGAGAGAGAGAGGGGGAGGCAGTAGGAGGAAGAGAAAGAGAGACGAAGCGAGATGGAGCGAGAGACCAGAGGCTCCGGAGAGAAGACCGACGTGGAGGTGAGACCTGAAAATCCTGTCTTATGACCAGCTAATTGGTTAGTATGTTTATAAAGGGCATTTAACAATTGAAAGTTATTATTATTAGTTTGCTAGACCCAGAGATTTTTTCTTTTCTTTTTGAACTTGGTACAAAAATATGGAGTGCTTCTTTTTTAGCTCTTCATGATTTTAGCAAACTATTATCTCCAAAATGGTGACATATTTTTCTTTCTGTAAATGCATAATTCACAGGACTAGTTGTAAATACACCAGATTGTAATGTCCCAAAGATATTGTGCAATATTCTAAATGATTTTAATGGTTATGACATTGTCAAGGCTTTTCCCCAAGAAGTTGTCAGTATCAGATTTTGAAAATTTAAATGTTGAAATGTGACTAGGAACAGTTTTGGGGTAAGACATCAGAAAAGGCCATCATGCTCAGAAAGTGCTAAGAAAACCAACATCTGAAAATTAACTCTGAGGTGTTTCAACTTGGCTCCCCAAAACAGAAACACCTATAATCTATTGTAGTCCCTTATTAAAGGGGCCTCTGACTTTTATTGGCAGGATCCTTTTTGCTGCAGTCTAGCCCTAGAGACTATGAGCCCTTGGGAAAAAGGGGGAACGTACCTCTTCCAGGGCTATGCAGAAAGAGAGTTAGTTTAGGCTTCATTTTTGGAGAGAGGAGCCAAGCTGCTGGTGTAGAGCTTTTTTTAGGCCAGAAGCTGTTGTGTTGTAGCTAGAGCCTGTCACTGAGCAGCTTACTATTACTGCTTGGACTTTGATATAACAGGCTGCTTTGAGGGCTGCTGTTGATTGTCCCTGGAGGGGAGAGATCCTGGCTTTGCCTATGGTTGGGAAGAGCCTACACAGAAGGTGACTGTGAGTAACTGGGCTGTTTGGAAATGTGCTGCCTGGGACGGAGCACAAAAGACAAACTGGCTCTGGGTGCAATGAAAGCCAGGGTGATCTGCACAGGGAATCAGAGCTGCTGGCATTTGGTGGAGCCTGCTCCAGTGGCAAAGGGATTTTGCAGCTGGCTGCTCAGCTTGGACTAACACACATAGAACCTACACAGAGCTGTCTCCACTTCAGCTTCAGACCTTCAAGTGCACCCATGCAAGCAAGTGTCTGGGACCCTGAATCCAGAGTAGTGCACACTCTGGGGTGGGATAAATGGCGGCAGTGCAAATGCCAGATAGATCGTGAGGCCTCGACCGGTCGCTCGCGAGGCCTCCTGTCTGCCCCGCCCCCATTTCCCTCCCACCCCCGAGAAGCCCCGCTACTTACCTCAAGGAGGGGGTGAGTGAGCCCCGCGGGAGGTGTGCAGAACTAAGTTAGTTCGAACTAGCGCTGTAGTGTAGACACACCCTCAGAGACTTCTGAGTACTTCAGACAAAGTAAATGTTACAAATAAAATGGTAACATGGCAAAATATGGTGTGTGTACCTACATATATTAAATATTTATCAGACAGTCTAAAGCATTTCTTGGTATTAGAGTCTAGTGCCGTGGTCACCAACAGGTCGATCGCGAGCTACTGGTAGATCGTGAGGCCTCGACCGGTCGCTCGCGAGGCCTCCTGTCTGCCCCGCCCCCATTTCCCTCCCACCCCCGAGAAGCCCCGCTACTTACCTCAAGGAGGGGGTGAGTGAGCCCCGCGGGAGGTGTGCAGGAGGTTTTCTGACGCGTGCGGGGGGGAGGGCCTTGGCCCCGGGGCAGGCGGGCACGCAGGGCTTCCCCGCGC